TTCATTAATTTTTTTTTTTTTTTTTTTTTGCACAGTACTAGGGATCAAACTCAGGACCTTCTGCTTGCCAGGCAGGCACAGTGCCACTGAGCTACATCCCTGGCCAGCTGCCTCTCTTTTTTTTTTTTCTTTTCCCCCTCTGAAGCCCCTCTCCTCTCCTTATATGCATTTTTGGGGTTTTTTTGAGACAAGTTCTCACTGTGTAGTTCAGGATAGCCCCGAAATCATGGTGATCCTCTTGCCTCAGCTTCCCGAGGGCTAGGATTACAGGGGTTCCACCACACGTGGCAAGTTTCAGTCTTATGCATGTCGATATCTTCCTCCTGTATGTAGTGTCTTATGTAGATATCTTCCTCCTGTATGTAGTTTCTTTAGGGTTTTTACCACAATGTGGTGTTGAATTTTGTTAAAGGACTTTTCTGCATCTCTTGAGATAGATGATCATGTGATTTTTATCCTGATTCTATTTATGTGGTGTATTACAATTGTTGATTTACTTTTTTTTTTTTTTTTTAATTTTTGGTTTTTTTGAGACAGGGTCTCACTATGTAGTTGAGACTGACCTGGAACTCACTATGTATCCCAGGCTGGTCTCGAACTCACAGTGATCCTCCTGCACTCTGTCTCCCCAGTGCTGGGATTACAGGCATGTGCCACCATGCCTGGTGATTTACATATGTTGAGCCATCCTTGTGTTCTTGGGATGAAATGAACTTGATCATGATATATGATCTTTTTAATGTGTTGTTGAATTCTGTTTATAAAAATCTTATTGAGTTTAGTATCTATATTCATCGAGAATATAGGTCTATAGTTTTCTTTTTTTCTTTGAGTCATTGTCCATTTTTGGTATCAGGATGTTACTGGCTTCATAGAATAAATTTGAAAGTATTCATTCCCTTTCTATTTCACGGGATAGTTTGAGGGACATTGGTGTTTAGTTTTTCTTTAAAGCCTGGTAAAATTCTGCGGTAAAATCCATCTGGTCCTGGGCATTTATTTGTCAGTCTCATTGTTCATTAGTGATCTGTTTAGATTTTTTATATCCTCTTAGTGCAGTTTTAGTCATGTGTCAAAAGTTTATCCATTTCTTCTAGATCTTTAATTTATTAGAATATATATTTTCAAAATGGTTCCTATTAATCCTCTGGATTTCTGTGGTATCTGTTAGAATATTGCCTTTTTGTCTCTAATTTTTTTTAATTTGGGTCTCATTCTTTTGGTTAGTTTGGCTAAGGTTTTATCTATCTTTTTTATCTTTTCAAAGAATCTACTCTGCTTCATTGATCTTTATTCTTGTAGTCTCCATTTCAGCTCTGACCTTTATTATTTCTTGGCTTCCATTGGTTTTGAATTTGATTTGTTCTTTTTCTAAGATCATGGGATACATCATTAGATTATTTTAGCCCTCTCAGCCTTTTTTTAATATAGGCACTTATAGCTATAAACTTCCGTCTTAGAACTGCCTTCATTGTATCTCACAGGTTCTGCTATGATGTATTTCCATTATTGTTTGATTATAGGAATTTTAAATTTTCTCCCTGGTTTCTTCAGTAATAAACATTCAGAAATGCGTGTTTAATTTCTATGGTTTCTCTTGTTGATTTCTAGTTTTATTCTGTTGTAAACTGATAAGATGCATGAAGCTATTATACATATACTTTTTTGTGTTTTTAAAGATAGCTTTGTTGTCTAAGATATGATTGGTTTTTGTTTTGGAGAAAGTTCTGTGAACTGCTGAAAAGAATGCTGGTTTTGCATGCAATATTCCATAGATGTCTATTAAGTCTGTTTGATCAATACTGTATTTAAATTGATGCTTCTTTGTTGATTTGGGGGGGTCTGGATGACCTGTTAATTTCTGAAAGTCATCCACTTGAATTATTGGGATCTACCAGTCTCTTCCTGTTGGATAAAGTTTGAGTGCGTCAATGTTTGGCTCATATCCCTTTTGTTTTTGAGACAGGGTTTCGCTCTGCAGTTCAGGCTGGCCTTGTAATCCTAAACCTCCTGAGGGCTGCAATTATAGGCATATGCCACCATGCCCAGCTTGTATTTTCTTTTGAGACAGGACCTTAGTGAGGTGCACAGGCTGCCTTGAATGTAATTGTGACTGTAGGGATGTATCACTGCTGTCAGCTTGTAGTTGTTTTTGAATGGGAATTCCTGCATTATTAGTAATGTATTTGTTCTATACGTACAAGAAGATAGAGAAATTTCAGAGGTAGTTGTAGTGTTGTAGCTAAGATCATAGAATTTGAAGCCTTGCTTCTAATTTTGAGTCCTGGCTGTGCTCTTTATTAGCTCTGCCACATTGGGCAAGTTACTTATCCCCTCTGTCTCACTTTCCTCATCTGTATAATGAGGATAACAGTATCTATTCCATTTTGTGGGGATTAAGATTTAATACATGTAAAAGCTTTTAAAATAGTGTCCGACACATACTTGAGGGCTCAGTAAATGTTAGTTATAATGAATGGTCAGCATATTTATTATTTGTGTTCCTTTCCCCCTCTAAAATGTAATGGCCAGGAAGAGACAGAAAAGTAAAAGAACCAAGTAGGTTCATATACTTGTGCTTCCTTTCTTTTTTTATTTTTTCTGACTTCTTAGAAGAAAAGCTTAGTTTGCAAGGTGTGGTGGCTCATATCTGTAATCCCAGTACTTTCGGAGGCTGAAGCAGGAGGATCAGAAGTTTGAGCCCAGCCTGGACAAAATTTAGGGGCTTGACAAGACCTTGTCTCAAAAAGGCAGGCAGGCAGGCAGAGGGGCCAGGGATTTAGCTCAGTGGTTGCACTGCCTGCTTGCAAGTAAAAGGACCCAAGTTCTATCCCCCGGTACCAAAAAAAGCTGGCTGGGGATTTAGCTCAGTGGTACCACTGGCCTACCTCACAAATGCAAGGTCTTTAGTTTGATCCCTTGTACCACAAAAACAAAAACAAAAAACATTAAGAAAAAAAAAAAAAGGACAGGTGCGAACGAGGGTCGGGAGGTCCCTGGGTATGTAGTTTAATGCAAAAGACCTGGGTTGAAACTCAGTACCATACAGACAAAATGAAAAAAAAAAAAAGCAAGAAGAAAAAGAGGGGGTTGATTTTTTTTTAATGGGGGGGCTTGGGATTTAGTTCAATGGTTCCACCCCCTGCCTTGCAAACACAAGGTTTCAATTTCAATTCCTGGTACCAAAAAAAAATTTTTTTTTTTGTAGTTTTCCAGACCTTATTATCTTCAATATTGTGTCCTGTGAGAATGATACAGTCACGTATTAATGCCTCACTTCATCTTTGTAAGCAGCCTAAAAATCATTGGAGGACAGTAATGAAACAGTCACTTTGAATCTACCTTGAATGATTAGAGGAAGCTTTTAATCTGGAGGATTTTCCTTTATTGCTTATATTAGTAATATAAACATGAATACCAAAAATTTATTCTTTAGATTGTGGTTGACAGAAGCTTATTTGAATTATTTCCTTTTCTCTTTTATTTCAATCCAGTTAAATATCCTTCAAACTAATTAAGAGTCATGTCTTTCTTGCCTGATAATGCAAACATAAGGCTACCTAAAACAAGCACCAGCCTTTAGATATGGTTTGATGGTATTCCACCCTTTCCCTACTACCCCATTGTCTTAGTTACTTAACTGGTTGCTGAAACAAGATAGTTGACACTCAAAGTTAAAGGAGGAAAGTTTTATTTGGCTTACAGTTTGTAGAGTCTTCAGATACTGAAGCTTTTCATGTGGGAAAATACAGTGATTTTCCTAGTTTATTTTCATTCTATGAAAACCAGGTATATAGGTGAATAAATTTTACCTTTTTTTGTACCAGGGATCGAACTCAGGACCTTGTACTTGCAAGGCTGGCAATGGAACCACTGAGCTAAATCCCTGGCCCAATAAATTTTACTTTTAAAGCAATTGTATTGATAATGGAAAAGTAGGAACTAAATAGCCTAGTAAGTTATTTGTGAAAGAGAGTTTCTGAAACACGTTTATTACCTCTCTGTATCTCACTTTCCTTGTTGAGAAAGAAGAGATAGTGGTAATTGTACCTACCTATTAAATTATATTGGGGAATAAATGGATTAATGATGTCAGAATGTCATGTACAAAGCACTGTCAACTTTAATTGTGATTGTTGTTGTCCTTATTATTATACTTGTAAGGTGATTGACATTTTTTTAACTTTTTCTTTCTATTCAGATGACCTGTGTAGAAAAGGCAGGAACAGATGAAAAAATGCTTATGAAGGTCTTTCGCTGTTTGGGAAGTTGGTTTAACTTGGGTGTTTTGGATAGCAACTTCATGGCCAATAACAAGTTGCTAGCACTCCTTTTTGAGGTTTTGGTAAGTAATGGTTTTGCTTATCAAAGTATTCCTGCTATAGCCACTGTTTTTTTTTTGTTTGCTTGTTTTTTGCCTTTGGGTTTTTTAATCTTAGTAGAGTGGTAAACCTTGTTATATACTTGAACATTTCTTCTTTATACTTTGATAGTAGAGCCTAGTTTTACATTCCTGTCTTAGTAGTAGGAGTCAGTACTTAGAATAAAACTATTTTTGGACAAGAAACGCTGTATTATCTCAAGCACTGATATTAAGAGGTAAATTACTTCATCTCTTTTTCGTAGAAGGTTTCATTCAGTGAAGATGTATTAATATGGAAGTTTTGTATATACTGGATGTATGTTGATATATTGCTTTTTAGAAGATAGTAGCATGATACTGAGTTGATAATATTGTGAATTAAAGAAAAGGAAAGCACATTCTTCAAGTATGTATTTGGCATTTCATTATTTTTTTTCCTTTTTTTTTTTTTTTTTTTTTTTGTTTTTTTTTTTTTTTTTTTTTTTTTTTTTTTTTTTTTTTTTTTTTTTTTTTTTTTGAGGCAGAGTTCTCACTGTGTTGCCTAGGCTAGCCTCAAACTCTTGAGCTCAAGATCTTCCTGTCTCAGCCTCCCGGGTGTTAGCTTGCTTGTGAGACTTGTTAGTTTATTTCTGCTGTCATTCTTGCATCAGAAGCAATTCAGCAGCATCAAGAACTCATGATTGTTTCGCAAGGCATTACCTTTGTCCCTGTACCCTACCTACCTCAGTCATGCCAGTTTTTATTCTTATCTCACCAGATTATATAAAGAATAGTCATTATGAATAGAGTCAAATTCTGCTTTGGTTTCAGAAATTCCTATTTACATATGAGTGGAGGAAGGTCTCAGATGTACTTCACATTTAAAATTAGTGACTTCTGGGGATTGGAAGTTGGGTAAAGAAGACACTAAGTATGCCAGGATTATCCTATCTACTCTGCTGATCCCATGTTAAGGCCCCACTACCACTTAAAAGAAGAGTGTTTCCAGAGTCAAAATAAAACATGATTTTTTTAATATCCTTTGGTTGAAAATCATACCATATTTTAGTTTGCTTTGTTTTAGCTACAACCTTCTTGTATAGCTTACTTCCTCTATAGCCTTTAAAAAAACACTTCAAATAATTTGCTCTATAATAAGAATATAAATTTGAACATTTACCTTTTTTCAACCTAACCTTAAAAATATAGTAATATAAGTTATATATTTGAGCCACCACTCAGCCTTAAAAATAATATGACAGGTGTGGTGGCGCATGCCTATAATCCCAGTACTCAGGAGGCTGAGGAAGGAGGATTGCTGCAAGTTGGAAGTCACCCTGTGTTCTGTAATGAGTCATGGCCAGCTTGAACTACATGGTGAGACTTTGTTTCATACCCCCCAAAAAAATTTTTTTTCTTTTAAATTTTTGAGTGAGGCTTGGCTAAGTGTAGAATTCTAGATTCAATATTATTTTCCTTCAAATTTTTGTTTTTAAATTTTTTTCCTTTGGTATTTCTTAAGGCCTTGTTCTCATTCACAAGCCCATGTCATTGTTAATGAGAAGTTGGAGAACTGTTGGATTTTTGCTTCTCTAACCCCTTCTGTCTTCCTCAGAGACTTCAAGAACTTCTGTTGAACTTTATATTCTGACATTTCACAGGGACGTGTTTAGATGTGGGCCTTTGGTAGCTGTTGAGCCCTTTCATTTTAGGTGGTACTTGCATGTCAGAAAGAGTATGGAAAATATTTCGACAGACAAAAACAGGGCAGAGAACAAACGGGAGGCGTTCTGTTTGAAGGGGCCGATCTGGCAATTAGAAATCAGATGACTGTGATTGAGGTTCAATAAGGCTGATTTGTTTGGCATACAGAAAAATAGGAGTAGCATTGGGAAGATTGTTGCATGTGTCTTTGGAAAGCCATGACTTATAAGCTGTTACATGTTTAAAGTACATGCTTAGAAAAGGCTATAATTATTTTCCTGTTATTGGATTACAATGATATACTTCTTGCCTCTCTGTGCCTGCTACCTTCCAGCAGCAGGATAAGACCTCATCCAACCTACATGAAGCTGCTTCAGATTGTGTGTGCTCAGCTCTCTATGCCATAGAGAATGTGGAGACTAATTTGCCATTAGCCATGCAACTTTTTCAGGGAGTCCTGACATTGGAGACTGCCTATCATATGGCCGTGGCACGTGAAGATTTAGACAAGTGAGTAACTAAGGCTGGACCTCTCGGTTTATCTATATTCTGATATTCTTTTAAGTTACTTTTAAGATTTTTATTTTTTGCAACGCTGAATATTGAGTCCAGGGCCTCACCCATACTGTAAGCACTCTGTCATTCAGCTGCATCCCTAGGCTATTAAGTCACTTTATTATATAGCTATCATTTGTGATTCTCAGTGGCTCTGTTTAAATATAAAAACAGTGTGTCCTAAAGATAGTCTGCTATTCTCACCCAAGCCTAGAGTGGGAAATTGGATGTAGAAGAGGTTGGAGAATTACGGAAAGTATTAAATTTTTGCACTTACAAAGGAAACAGTGTAAGAATTAGGGATAAACTTTAAAACACCACTTGTAATTTGATGGGAATTTGTGTTCAGCTGTTTTAATAATGGAGAATTTGAACTGACTTGCCAGTCACTTATCTATGTAGAAGTAGATGTTCTATGTGAAGGTGTCTGCTGTGGATACATAATACAGCATAGTAGATAATTCCTTAGGCTGAAGAACCTTTTATTCATTTGATTCATGCTGTCTGTGAGTATGTGTATATAATATCCAGATTTCTGACTGCTGCTCTCGTTCTTTTCTTCTACAGAGTTCTGAATTACTGCCGTATTTTCACTGAATTATGTGAAACTTTTCTTGAAAAAATTGTTTGTACTCCAGGCCAAGGTCTTGGAGATCTACGAACTCTAGAATTGCTTCTGATCTGTGCAGGGCATCCTCAATATGAGGTAATATCAATACTGTGCTAAGGCCATCGATTCTCTTAAGTTGTATATTCCGTGTCATCTGTATTTCATTTCTTCATGCCCTACTTGTATTCACAAGAAATTAGTCTTGTTTGCAAGTAGTGTAATATGAGAATTATGTCTGTATTGGAATTTTCATTTTTGTTTTTTTTTTTACTTGGTTAGCTGTTTTGACTTGTCAGTACCTCAAAGAATCTGTTAGGGGGATGGGGATTTAGCTCAGTGGCTCTGGCGCCTGCCTTGCAAGTGCAAGGTCCTGAGTTCAATCCCTGGTACCAAAAAAAGAATCTGTTAGAAAGAAAGCATGTTACCTTTCTACTGAGCTGTCTTTCTAGCTCTGTTCTCTAGAGTTTAGCAGCTAAAAATTACACTCTATTTGTTAGCTCTCCAGTGCTGTTACAGAGTATCTAAGATTAACTCAAAAGGGAAATGGTTTATTTGGTTCATAGTTACAGATTTAAATCTGTGGTTCTCTAGCTTCATTGCTTTTGGGCCTGTGGCAAGGCAATAAATCATAGAGGTGAGGAATACATGGCAGAGGAAGCCTGGCAAGACTTAAGAGAGGAAGAGGAATGTGGGGTGGCTAGGGCCCCAGTATCTGCTCTTAGGTTCTGCGCCAGTGACCTAACTTCCACAAGGCTCCACCTCCTAAAGGTTCTCCTACCTCCTAATACTGGAACAAGGTGGCTACAGCCTTCAAAATGTGGTTCTTGAGGGAATTATTCAAAGTTTAAACTTGGCACACACCAGATCCTGACTGTGCCATCATAAGCCTTCACACCTCGTTTTTTTCTTAAAATGAGGGATGTAAACGAGAAAGGGTTTGAAAAAAATAAAGAATTTTCTTAATTTAAAAATCTTTAAGATATCTGTCCTTTTAAGTTAATAGATTTTTAAATTTTTCTTCATCTATTTGAGAAGTTTTTACCTCATTTTTAAAGTACAATTGAGAAAGAAGTGCTTCCGAGTTGGACATTCCTCCTTGATAGGAAGGATCCTCTTACTCTGCTTGCTCTTAGACACACAGTTCTATGATTCTCAACCCTTTTACTGTTTTCACATGAAAGATAGTGTTTATTTTACATAATCATGAGAATATATAGGTTTGACTGAAACTCAAGACAGTTTTAGAAGTGTAGTACTATATAGTAGTGATTGCTCCTTTAAATAGTTTCATATGGAAGATTGACTATAAAATCATAGACTCTTTCTCCCTTTGTCTTCTACTCAAGAAAGCAGGCAAATGAAAATGACATGAGGCTCATTAAGATATATTCACAGATTTATAGAGAACTTGCCTGATAAGTATTCTAATCTCAAGCATGTAAAGACATGATTATAGAATTTGAGAAAAATACCTTTTAAAAGACTTCTGTTTCTGTATCATTTTCTCTAAATTCAGAATCCAATATACTTTGGAGGAAGTTATCCCAAGGATAAATAGGAAATATAAAGCCATTCATCCTAACTGGAGTTTGGGGACTAACGTGGTTAGATATTTGAGGGTATAGTATAATGAATCTTATTACAGAAAAAGTGTCTTCTTCTCATATTATGTATAAAAATGCATCTTTTTTCCTACATGGCCTTAGTAATACTAAAACTATCTTTTCAGTCCATTTCTTTCTTACTGAAATAAACCATGTTTTCTCTTAATCTGACAGGTAGTAGAAATTTCCTTTAATTTTTGGTACCGACTAGGGGAGCATTTGTACAAAACTAATGATGAGGTCATACATGGCATCTTCAAAGCTTACATTCAGAGGCTGCTTCATGCCTTGGCTAGACACTGCCAGCTGGAACCAGACCATGTAAGTTCACTTCTCTTCTTCAAATCTTACTTTCCTCTTCTTTTCAGTACTAATTTGAGAAGAGTAGACCTAATAAAATCTTCATATTTTGCCACTTAAGTTTACAGTGAAGAAATCAATGCCAGATGAAGATTAGGCTGATGTAGAAAAAATATTGCTCCTGCTGAGCAATTCTTCCAGGAATTTTATCTTAGTACTATAGAAGAAAAAAATACCTGTTTCGCATTATCTATAAAGGTAGAAAATGGTAAGCCATGTATTAATAGTATAAGCAGAGTGACATATGATATAGCACCTTGCTGAACCATTGTCGAAGTAATAATGACTACTGAAATAGTAATAGTTGTGGAAAAGAAAAATCAGAATAGAATTTTTAAAAAATATATGTAATGTATATGTTTAAACTAAAACTAATACAAAAGTGAAATACTTGTGAAGATGTTGAAAATTACATATGGTCCCCTGTACATATATCTTTCTTTATATTATTTATACTGATTGCATAATTTTTAGAAATATAGAAATAATCCATTTGCTTTGAAGAAATGCAGTTTCTAGGAATTTTATTTTAGAAGTCCATTGCAAAACTTTCAACCTTCATTCTTGGTTTCTTCAAATTTTGCCTCATTTATTTCATCCTTTGGTTAAATCTAGGACCTGGAGCAAATTTTTAATTGCTTACAAATCTGAGATGCTTTTGTCTTAATTTGAATGTTAGTATTATGTTTGAGTCATGGCATTTTGTATTCTTCAGAATCTTAGTGATGACCTAGTGAAGTGGTTTTCAAGCCACCTTGTTTTTAAACCAAATAATCCTATCTTTCCTGTAATCCCAACCCTTGGGGCTGAGGCAGGAGTGTTGACACGAGTTTGAGGCTGAACTACATAGTAAGACCCTATCTCAAAACAAAAACAAAAACAAAATCCTATTTTTTCCATCATACTTGAAAGACTAACATGTAACTAAAAGTAGGGCTATTCTGGTTTAAATGGTTCTATTTGGTTCTTTTTATTCTTTTGTTAGTTTGGTGATACCATTTTCCTGGCAAGTATTTTTTTATGCTTGTTAATGCTTTGTTATTTTGTCTATTATTTCATCTCAGACACTCATGTTAAAATAAGAAAGTCATAAGTTCTTAATAGTACCAAGGGCTTTTTCCAGGTATAGCCTAAGATTCTTATATAGGCCCTTAACCATCTGAAAATTAATTGGTAATGCTACTTAAAGAAGTGTGTTGTGATAGGATTTAAAGTTTATAATACTATTTTCTACTGGAAATTATTATGATGATGGTTGATTGGGGATCGAACTAGTGACCTTGAGCTTTTGAGGCAGGTGCCAGCACCACTGAGCTAATCCCCTGCCCAATTTGGATGATTTTAAATGTAAAGCTTCAGAGACTCATTCATTACTAAAGACCTGACCCTCCCTAGAGGCTTGTAATTTTTTTTTTTTTTGGTACTGGGGATTGAACTCAGGTCCTTGTGAACAATTTTTTTTTCTTTTTTTTGGTATCGGGGATTGTTTTGTTTTTTTTGAGACAGGGTCTCACTATATAGTTGAGAATGACCTGGAACTCATTATGTAGCCCAGGCTGGTCTCAAACTCACAGCGATCCTCCTGCCTCAGCCTCCCGAGTGCTGAGATTACAGACATGTGCCACCATGCCCGGCTGTAATTCTTTTTTTTTTTTTTTTTTCTTTTCCTTCTTTTTATTGAGGTTATTGGTACAGTCTAGGTATAAAATACAATTACATTCATCATTGGGATTCTGTACCTTTACATAATAGGTCTTGATTCTCATTTTTCCCCTTGTCCCTGCCCTCCCTTCACCCCCTCCTCCCCTCCCCATTTACAAACACTTTATTTCCATTTTTTCAGTTTCTCATATTTTTTTCCTCTCCCTTATTACGTTTCCCCCACCCTTCCCACTTTCCTTACACCTTTAGCCCTTTACTTCCTATTTCACATTATTAATTGTCTCATTAGGATCCTGTGTACTGTGTTTTTCACACCAAAGTAATTATTCGGTATTTCAGTTAAAGAAATCTCTATATGAACATTAAAAATAGGGAATCCTAAAATAAAACTAAAAAGGAAAGTAAAAGAGAAAAGGCAATGATGTAACATCAAAATAATCCTTAATTCTGGAGATGAAAATGGTCCCTGAACA